GTCCAGTCAGCTTCCAGCCCAACCAGAACTTGAAATCCAACAATGCACTCCTAATTTTAAAAATACTACCGTTTTAGTATACTAAAGCATTCTGCGATTTTAGCAAGTTGGTCGAAGTTAAAGATTGCGAAGCTTTACAGCTGCTGGACCCAGCATGAACACGCAAACCTGGCTAAGTATTGAAATTGTTGAATCTGAGATAAGTATCCCGGTAGTTCGCTGCTTCAGAACGATAGCATTAAATAAGATGACAGTGGGGTATTTATTACAAAATAAACCTTTGACGTGAAGTTAATAGGCTAGAAATCGGTACACTGAGTATGTTATGCTGCTGACAATATTTGCAGCAACTGAACTGGATTAAACTCTGAACTGAGCCCCGTTTTGAAGGTTACGCCGAAAAAGCACATGTCTACAATATCATCGTAGAAGTCTTTATTGTGCCTGGTCTGGAAATGCTAGTAAGCAATGGTACAGAGTTTAAACTCAGTGAATAAAGCCAATTTCCACATACCCTCTATACGTCACCACAATCACAAGGTTTCAGACAACTACTATATTGTGGATACTTGATACTGGGCTCATTTACAAGGATCTGATGTCAGTCGGAATAATTGCAAGCACGGCATTGGGTAGCATTGACCATGTCAGTCAACTGTTCCTATATGCATCCCACGGGGAGTATCCTGAAGTAAAATATTCTAATGTTCAAACGCTCACGGGAGTTTTATCCGAAATTTGTATCTGCGGACATATTTATCTGTGCTTATTTTTATCAGTGCCTATATAATATGCGTTTTGTTTGCGCCTCTTATGTATATATTTATATATAGGATCACCTCAAATGAATACGTCCCTGAAGTCACCTAAATATTTACAGAGATTTGGTGCAATGGTAGTTAACTCATCGGAACTGAAATCCTTTCTTCTTCAATGCAAAACCTTAGTTTTCTATTGAACATAAATCGTAAATACATGTTTGGTAGGGATTTGGTATGGCAATCTTACAGGAACAGCCTAAGTACCATAATCCGGAAGACGTTTACATGGTATAGCAATAGTTTTGTATCAAACAAAATCAAATCCTGGATCTATACGACAAGCATTCGACTGCTCAGTGCATAAATTATCCTACAGTTGTTGTCCCTGTCATTTACCTGACTGGTCGCATAGTGAACGTGCTCTCCTCTTTCACAGATTTTTATGTCTTTTCACCTAGCGCAATCACCATACACAAATTCAAATCGGAATAAATCTCCGTGTTCCGTGGGCATATTTACGAAAGTATTTCCTACGGCAAGTGATTTGTGCTACATGAGTTGTTGTAGACGCACCACTATGTTGCATTTTAACATTTTTCCATGCTGCGATATTGTAATCAATTAAGGAAGCTCCACGCTACTTGGTGGTCCTAGAATTTCATCTATAAGATCATTTCTAATGAAGCCACGACTCAATCTGTGGTTTCAATTGCGTTCGCTCATCACCGGCAATTTCGCTGTCATGCACCCACTACAAGACACTTCCAGGGGCTTCGTTCTACAGGAACCAGTGTGGATCAATAAGCTAGTCAAACCGTTTACGTGTGACCTCGTCGTGCACACTCACCTACGGTAACCGACGTTAAGTATGCGAGTGGTACAAATACAGGAGAATTACGCGCTCTCTTCCTCACGTGACCAGCGAAGGGAAGCGTTCGTTTACAACAACGGTCGTCAATGGAATTGACTCCACCTAACTGCAAATGTTGTAAGCAAAAGTGTACATGCCCAGTTATGCGAGACATTATTCGTGAATTTTGCCACTGTCTGTTTCACCCTTCTCTGCTGGATTAAATCAAATACAGTACAAGGGGCAAATCAACTTGACTGAGTGGCTCTGATTTTGTCAAAGATGCAAAGCAATCCCAATAGTCAAACCTATAATATTGCTCATGAAAAAGTGTTTAAAACTGACTGAAACAGTCCAAAAGTGGCGAGCTTCAGGGCTTTGTCATTAAAATCTAACAACACCGATCACGCTCTACAGCAAACCCTCAGAGCTCTGTTTCTACGTCGAAGGCTAAAGTCAAGCTTGCTAACCACCTGACGGCATCTGCGCCACCTACTCCGGCAATTACTAACCCTTTATGTAAGCAAGACACATCCAGCGTGACTGTTATTAATGAATCCCTGGATGAAATATCTCACGAGTTGGTAACAGCACGGACACGGACAGTGCAGAGCCGGGTAACATAAGCATCGATCGCTTCGATAAAAAGGCCCAAAAAGACACTCGTGCGTCCATTTTCTAGACCAAGCACGAGCGATGCAACGCCGATTTCACAACGTTCTTCAGTGCCCGCCAAACAATCCAAGTTAATAGCCACAACACTCAAATCAACATTCGATAACCAGAACCATAGTTCGTTACTTGTCATGTGCACTAACGTACCTGAGTCTAGTTCTGGCAAAGTAAAGTGCTAGTCAGTGGATGATCGTAACCAGTTGCATTTTCTCTG